TTTTATTTTATTTTAATGTACTGTGTTAAGTAAATGAATGAAAATAAAAATACATGATTATTAAAGCACGTTAAATAATTGTGTGTTTTATATGGTGTATTGTTTTTAAATGTTTACAACAAATTCTATGAAAAAGACGTGGATTAGAGTATTATATGACTCTTAACAAGTGCTTTAAGGGCACTTTTGAGCCCAATGAAGTCTTGAGCTTGGTGGACTTGTAATCCACCATACGGAAACAGAAGGAAAACAAAAAAAAAAAAACACTTTGAATTCTCCTCTATATAAAAAAAATGCTTTGCTAAACTGAAAAGGCTTCTTAAGATCTCTTACAATAGTTTCAATGGGCTTCTTGAAATGCTCCATTGAATTCTCCTTTTAATTATTTTTCTAACATAGTAAACTTTTTCAGAAGAAATATTAATTATATTTTTCACTATAACACATGACTCGTAGTCAGATCACAGCACAAATTTCTTGATTACTATAATTTTTATTTTTTTTTGCAAGAGATAATGGATCTCTCTGGTTCTGACAGACTAATGGTCAGCTGCTCTGGATAATTTAAACATCATGCACAGAGACTTAGCAGAGCAACAAAGCTTGATATGGGATAATCATGTGTGCACAAACATTAGTTAGATACGGACAGCCTCAGTCATGCCCAAAACAAAAATAACTTTGTTTGCGTTTTAACTCTCATCCTATGCTTCCTAAAATTACATTTGCATCAAGGCTTCTATAATTTACATGGCTTTACATTGGCTAGTAGGGACTGCAAGCAAGAAACTCATAGCTTAAAGAAAAGTTAGTCTGAGTATCGGAAACCAAACCTGCTATGGTGTGTAGGCAGAATAATGCTACCTCGGTTGTGTATAAGCAAGACTAGAGCCAGTTTGGGGCAATCTTGGTTGATATTGTTTTTGAAGATGGATCATCCGAAAGCTTGGCAAGTGACCGATACTGCAACTTTACACTCTCTGCATTGTCCAATGTCTTCACAACATACCTGTAAATGGCTTTGTATTAGTTACAAGGATCAGTTACTCACCACCTTTCATGCAAACAAGCCAACATGCATGGTGCAGAAATCTCAACTGAGACAATCTTCAATCCTAATAACTAGAGGTTTGATCAATCATTTCACACCATTTAAGATGTATCCATTACCATATCCGTTATCTCATCTAAGCTGCAAATGTATTCACTTATTTACAGTACTAATCATAGTATTAACTCATTCAAAACAGATTTTGTTCCATGTATCTCCATACGCATGTAATGACAGCCAAGAAATTCAAAATCAACAATGCACAGATGTCTGATAGAACTTCTTGGTCACATAACAGAAAATGCGCACAAGAGATAAATGTATTAATTATCAAGGGAAAGAAAAGAGCAATTGACATCAGTAGAGAATTGACCTGAGCAATGCACCAAACCTTAAAACATGCAAAAATTGAAGGTAAGAAAAACAAGAAATGACCAACCATCCATTTAAGCATTGCGTTGTCACAACAGCCTCCCGCCCAACAAACCGCTGAGGTGTCCTCTTGTTTCCCTGAATATTTCCGTTCATATTGTTAATTTTAAATGATTTATAAACAATGCATACAGGAAAAACTTGGGAGGTTCGCTAAACAACCTTTATAATAACCCGGTCTGTCACAGCAAATGGGAACTGCACACCTCTACCCCTTGGTGGATCCATGACCCCTGAATCGCCATAACCACCTTTGTCCTATAATAGAAAAACAGTGGTGATTTTAGAAAAGCTATAAAAGTTGAGGCTGCTGGTGCATTCTAAAACCAAAGGGTTGCCGGAGAAACAAATAAAATAAATTTTTTTTTAAAAAATGGAGTGGATAATTAAAACATAAAATAATACTTAAAGAAAGCATCTGAGTTGCAGGGTTTTATAAATCCCCAGTGATTGACACAGTTTTTTAAATGCCAGGCTATTGACTTATCAACAGTGAAGACATCTCATTGAGAAGGAAAAATCAGAAGCATTTTCATAATATCTACTTCCAAATGAGGTAGAACCATGCAGTTCAGCATGACTGCAATGAAAAGAAAAGGTATGCATTGTTATGCAGTCTGCTCCTATTCTATTGACAATTGCTAAAGAGAATTATGTTAAAAGGAAACCCAGGGCTTGGTGGGAACAAACCTGGTCAAACCTCTCTCTCCTCCTTTTGGATGAGCGATAAAATTGTAACTCCTCTTCCCGTTGAAATGCCTGGACAGCATATCTGAGAGCTGTATAGACAGCAGCAAAATGAACAAATGAAAAGGCAAAGCCAAAGAAAATGCAAGCTGTGATGCACTTGTCATAGTTCTCTTATCATAGTGACTATAGACTCCCTATTTCTTGCCACTGCTTAAAAATACAAAGCCTGCGATTTTTTCTTGTACGAAGCACGATCATAAAATCCTACAACCTTCAACATCAACAACAACAACAAATTACTACTTACAGAGGTTTGGAGATATTGAGTCTTCTGAAATTGACTGCGAACAACTATAGCAAACTTTCTGAAAATGCAAGCATAAAACTGAAATCAAAATCATATCATAACAACTGTAAGAACATCTCAGAGAGAGAGTGAGATTAGAATGCAACACAACTGTAGATTTCTAAAATAACAGAGTCCAGTGAAAGTGAACCATGTGCACAGAACAAGCAGAGGCACGCAACTTTCAGCATTGCTAAGCAGAAAGCTTAAATGCAGAAACATCTCATATAAGTTGTTATAAAATGAGTGGAAGGAAGACAATTCAACAAGAAGAAAAATACTTCATTCCAGGATATTAATCACAGGGTCAAGCTTCCTCTTCTTGAAAGTCTAACAAGTGTTATCTCTGACCAACAACAGTTTACTATTTCATTAATTGTTGATCATATGGCCTTGAAGACAGTTATGATCCTATTGACAGATTGTCAGGACATGGTTTGTAGCTTGCTCGCCCAAAGCAATAAAATACAACTATTACAAAAACCAGCACCTATAAACAAGCATTACCATTAAAAGTTAAAAAAAAACTGTACAAGTTCAAATAACAAATTACAAGGACTGCTTAAGGGTATAAGATAGAAAGTGGCCAATTACAAGGACCAAACATCCAAATAGACGCACTTCAAAGGCAGTGCTTGTGTTAGAGCCTCAACTGAGCCAAAATTACTGTTCGATATGGACATGTCCAGACTTCATTTTAGTGCTTCTGAAGGAAAATTTATAGTAACAGTGACTAATGCTGGATGTCTGTCAGAAGCAGCTTGAAGCTTCGTAGTAATTTTAAAGTTTGCAGATAAAATTCATTGAGGCACACAATTAATGAAGCTCACAACCCCCACCCCCTCTCCTTTCTCTCACACTCTTTGATCTGGTACTTTCTCAGTATGAGAAGTTATTCTAACCTCCTATGATAGAGAGTTGCAATGAATGATTTCAAAGACCAAAAATTCCTTCAATTGAGAACTGACCATTCTGATAACATGCTGCATTCCACCAGCTCCAAATGAATGCCCACAAGGCAATATCATAGCGTCATCCATTAAAGCTCCCCTGAATCCATAAACTAAAGTAAATAAATTGCACAAGTAAAAACTTTGACAGCAACATGCTTACAGGTAGAATAAAAAAATGGCATGCCAAAACAGATATTCCAAAAACTTATCATAACAAACTTCTGATTCCAACACAAATAGTCCATGTCATGCCAAACACAAAAAATTCGCATAAACATAGAAAAAAAAAATCAACAATCAATCTCAAAAACTTACGTAACAGGGTCCGACAAAATAGCCCTTAAAGAATCTCCAGACTCACTCGAAAATGCTGAAATCTCCTTCCTTCCACTAAATCCACAACCATTCTCCACACCCATATCCTTTCCACCAGCACCAGACCCCCCCGTCCCCTGCAAATACTGCGAATAATACATCTCCCCATCTGCCTCCGCGATCGTCACCGCATTATTCCCTGTTTGCCCCAAGCCGCCGCCGCCACCAATTCCATCTTTCACCATTTCCCCACTAATCCCTAAACAAGCAAGCACAAATAACACCAATAAAGAAGACGGAAATAAAGAAAGCTTTGAAAAAAAAAAGAGTTTCGTTCCACTTACCAAAAGAAGAAAGATGCTTGGGCTTTGCATTTCCATTTCCAATTTTGTCCAAATGAACACTATTACTAGCATTACTAATAGTTCCACTACAGTTATTGTTGTTACAATTAGTGTTTTTGCTGTTACAATCAATAGCAGCAACAAGCACATCAACTCCATTCTCATGATCACCATCACCACCGTCTACGTCATCAACCTCCTCCTCGTCGTCCTCTTCATCATCTTCATCATCCTCACCGTCAGTATCATCTCCACTAGTTCCCTGCGGTTCACGCTGATAAACATTCCTCGGGAAATCCTGGTGGTGGTGGTGGTGGTGAGAGGCAAAGTAACGGTCGGAGCCGGCGGTGGAAGTGGCGGTTGCAGTAGTGGTGGAGGAGAAGAGCTTGTTGTCATCGATAAAACCGGTGAGTTCTCGAGTTTTGGGATCCCCGACACGGCGTTGCTGCTGTTGTTGCGGAGGCGGTCCGGTGCAATTGAATCGCAATGGATCGTCTTGGAAGAGGAGTTGTGAATTTATTCCGTTTTGTGGAGAAACTAAAGATATTTCCTCTGTTGACATTTCTCTTTGCCTTTTCTATTTGATTTACATGGAAGAAATCAAACCCTAATTTGAAGGAATTTGGGGGTTTGTTTCCATACGAGAGAGAGAGTGAGAGAGTGAATTAAGACGATAGATCATTGATTTACAGACAAGGGTTCAGGAAAAAAAAAAAAAGAATCTAATTCCAAACACAGATACGCTGTCGTTTCACAGAATGAGAAAAACGGTGACGTCTTCAAGATACCGTTGTGGACCCCAAACCTGCCACATGAGTAATTTGAAAGCGAAAGAGCAAGCTAACTAGGCAGCAGCAGCCGCCTCAGTAGGAGTAACCGTAGAGGATTAATTAATTGTGAAAGGAAGAATGGAAGGGAGAAGGAGCTAAGAAAGGAGAGACGGAGTCAACGAGTATAGACTTTGACCTCTAGAAGAAGCTAGTTAAAAAGAGGAGAGGATGAAGAGGAAGAAGAAGAAGAAGAAGAAGCGAAGGGAGCAGTGTCGTGCTGAAATAATTATCTGTAAATCAATTGATTATGAGTAATCAGAGGGTAATAAGGGAGCAGTGTCGTGCTGAAATAATTATCTGTAAATCAATTGATTATGAGTAATCAGAGGGTAATAAGGGAGCAGTGTCGTGCTGAAATAATTATCTGTAAATCAATTGATTATGAGTAATCAGAGGGTAATAAGGGAGCAGTGTCGTGCTGAAATAATTATCTGTAAATCAATTGATTATGAGTAATCAGAGGGTAATAAATCTTCTTCTTCTTCTTCTTCTTCGTGGGTTGATGATGAGTGTTATAATGGGAAAAGGATGCGATGGTTGGGTTTCTGAGTTACCTCGGAAATTAATGACAAGAGAATCTCCAGAGGTGGTAACTCCATTTCCCTCCCTCTCTCTGTTTTTTTTTTTTCAGAGTTTTTAGTAATATATAGATTTTATTTTGTTTTGTTTTTGCTGCAGAGCTCTCCGATTCCCGCACCATTTAAATATTACAATGAAACGAAGGAGAGGTGTTCCGATCCGATAGTTAAAAGGGGATGTCGGGACTTGACTAATAACCTCACTGCTTGCCTTCTTTCGTCAAATACCTGTGAGAACTCTTCTACTGCTAATCTCGACTCTCTTCCTCTTTTTTCTTTGCTTTTTGTTTAGATTTTGTTGCCCTAATATCTCAATATTGATTTGGTTCGGTTAATTTGTGTTCAAATAAATAGATTTGAAATAGTTAGAACTACAATCTTGGTTCTCAATCTTGAAGGTGTTCTTCTTCAGGTTATCTCTCAACTGTTCCCCCCTGAGAAGATGCAGCTGCTTCATCTAGTTTCTCTAACTTAGGTCTTGCTGATTTATTTGTTTTCTATGAAAACATTCTTGTGATCTCGTCCACAGTTCAATTTGACCACTTTCTCATCCACCTGATATATAGTTTTTGAGATCGATGAAACCAACCTTAAAGTTCTAAAAATGTTCTTGTAATACCTTTACAGTTCTAATTTCATATTCTGCTACAGTATGATAATCAACTAGTAGAACATTTTCAGCAAGTTATGTAAATCTAGTCCTTTTGTTTACATGGGATAGTAACATATTCCATTCCTTCTTTGCTTGTTGAAGATCATCTTAATGTCTCAACTAATCATCACTTTACAGTTCTAATTTCATATTCTGCTACAGTATGTTAATCAACTAGCAGAACATTTTCAGCAAGTTATGTAAATCTAGTCCTTTTGTTTACATGGGATAGCAATTTATGCCATTCCTTCTTTGCTTATTGAAGATCATCTTAATGTCATAAAACTGATAAGGTCAGGAAATCACCTGGTTTTATGATCATTATTTTTCCAAAGTATTTGGATACATGCCGCATTTATAACTTGTCCTGCAACATTTTCTGCACTACCATTTTGAAGAGTGAATGATAATTCCCAACAGAGAGAGCATTGGGAGGTTATTTTTGCAAATCATGATGGAAACAACATTGTAATGCTAAAATTAGTAGAAATGATCGTACATGCCAGATAAATCATTTTACTGTCCCGTCTCTCCCCATAAGGGTTTTGTAATTTTCCTTCTTGCATTGACTGAATCTGGCTTTACCTTCAAGCTTGCCTGCTTTAACCATATTGTACTTTTCTTAATTGAACTGATTTTTTGCTTGACTTGACAGAATATGGATTTAGTTTGACTATTGAATCTCCTGGGAAATGGTTTTCTTATATTATGGAGATTGTTTTCAGTTAAATAGAAAATTTGGAATGAACAAATGAAACATTGGATTATCTTTTTTGTGATGTTTGATGACTCATGGATATACCTATTGTTGTCTAACCCCAGTCACTTTGGATCCATTCTTCTACCGAATTTGGAAAACAATCGTGCCAAGATTCCTATATTCTGGATGTTCTGCTTCCTAATGTCAGATAACCATCACTTCGTCCCTTTTGTTGTTCTTGTATGTATTTGACTGTGCAATGTTCTGTTTTGAATGGAAAAACATCAATCCAATCTGTAAACAGCTTTTCTCACTACTTGCTAAATCAAATACATGGCAATTTTTGCTAATGATCACAACATCATGTTCGTATTGATAAAACTAGAGACAAGACTCTTAGCACAAGGCTGCTATTCTTTCATTGCAAATCTCATGTCCACTTAGATTTATGATGCATTGGATTGGGTTTTTCATCTTTACTGATCATTCCTCATGCCTTGCTGATTAAGCGCTCTCTATTTTTCCTATGTAGCATCCAGGGAACTGTTTCTGCTTGTCCAGAATGATGGAGAGGGCATCTTGAAAGTGAGTCTTACAATCACAGATATTGATGTTACTTTCCCGGAGATGCAACTATCCAAACACGACGCCAAAAAGGTTCAGCTCGTTTAATTTCTAGCATTTATGCTTTACAGAAGTGGGACATGTCTTGATTGGGAGTCTAGTTTGACAACTGATACAATGGGGGGTTGGGTTATAGAGTTCGAAACAAAGAACCGGTTTTAACTAGCAGAAATTCATGCATAAACAGCCTTTGTAGAATCAAGTGAGCATCTCCTACATGTTGATCTTTGGTCTCAATCTTTTATTTGATAAGTCCTATTGCATTCCTTGTTCAGATTGATGTCTCAGAAAAGGTTGAAGGAAGTCCGTCCATCATATTAAAAACAGGAAATGGTTCGTGCATCATTGAAATGGGATCAAAGAAACTAAAAGTCAAATATGAGCTGTTCTTTGGACATGGCACCTATTTATCCCCTAAAAACGGAGCCTACTTGTTTTTGATAGCTTTGATTGCTGGAGGGGCATGTGCCTGCTGCTGGTTTCTGAAAAGCTCGCATGTTGATGGAGTCCCATATCAGGAACTTGAAATGGAGCAGCCAGACTCCCATTCAGCTAATAATGTGGAAACAACTGAAGGGTGGGATGAAGGGTGGGATGATGACTGGGATGAAATAAAGGAGGTGAAACAGCCAAATGGACATCAAACAGCAAATGTTTTATCAGATGTCATCGCTTCCAGGAACTCTGATGCAGAAGAAGGGCGCAAAGATTGGGTTGATTAGGGAAACAATACAGGTATAGCTTTTCCATTGTCCATGAAAATGGAAAAAAGAAACACGACAGAGACGCTACATGTAGAAAAGTCAGGAAGTCAAAATTTAGTGTTCAAGATAAGTGCTTGAGCTAATGTGGAAGCAGATTGAAAATTAGATAAATGAAAAACAGTTTTGGTACATGAAACGAATTTGTTGATATTTTATTTTAATACACTAGGAAATATTTTTTTTTTCTTGATTTTTGTTCAGAAAATACGTCTGTGAACAGGAAATTCTCTTTATTTTTCTTATTTCTGGCTTTTTAATTATTGTAATTGCTTTTTAAATGGAGGGTTGGTTATAGAAAATGTTTAGTTTGTATTAATTAAGATAAAATAAATTAGCTAATCACGTAAACAAAAATAATTTATTATAAAATCTGAATTTCATATTAAATTTGACATTTTAAATTTTCAGCACATATAATTAAACTCATTTTAAGAGTCTGGATTTTTTAAGAAAATTATTTAATGGAAAATATTTTCCTCAATTCTTCAATGTAAAATAAACATCCCTAAATATTATTAATTTGAATAAACATAATTCAATATCATGAAAAAGGAGAAAATGTTTTAACCTCGTGGAGAAGGGTAAATATTTTTCTTGACACTACAACTTATAATATTCACTCATCACAACCACTCATCACAACCACCAACCACCATAATAATCTATTTTTTACCCTTAATTTTTCTATTTAATTTTATTTTCATAATATATCTAAAAGAGTTTAGGAAGTGAAATAAAAAGAAGAGGAGGACAAGGGGCTAAGGTGATCATGAATTAAAAATAATAATTAAAAGCGATCATACCCATTAAATTAAAAAAAAAGTTTTATTAATTAGAAACCTGTAATCAAGTAGAAAATAATTTAATTGACTAACATTATTTTTTAGTTTTTTCCTGTTTTGCTAGGGTTTCAGCAAAGATAATTAGGAGACACATACAAATATTGAGAGGGGACTCTAGCAAAATAATACCTAGCTAGCAAATAAAAACATTAGTCCCCTGAATCTCCTACTGTTCAGCCTCCCGCACCTATTGCCACCATCGGATTCTTACCACAACCAACAACCACCCGCTTCAATAGATTTTCTCTCGTCAGCACTAGTAGCAGCGGCATTCACGGCAGCTCCAACAACCCAAAACAGTGGAAAAAAGAAATAGCAGCAGTCGAGACAAAAAACAACATCAGCATTGTTCTTCGAAGCCATCGATCTCCCACCGTCAAAGGTCTTGACATACATTACCAGTATATGAAGAAAGCATGAGGAGAGGAGTACATTGAGTTCCGAATATCATATATACAGTAAAAACTATAAAATAAAATTATTTACAAGTTTTTAAGATTTTATTAGATAAATTCAAAGTTATTTAGAGATTTATTATATAAAGATCTGTAATAATTTTAAAAAATGAAGTTATGATATAAGTCAGAGTACATTGAGTTCCGAATATCATATATAAAGTAGAAACTATAAAATAAAATTATTTACATGTTTTTAAAATTTTATTAGATAAATTCAAAATTATTTAGAGATTTATTATATAAAAATCTGTAATAATTTTTAAAAATGAAGTTATGATATAAGTTGTTTAGTTGTTCAGTCTCTAATAATAATTCATATGAACCACCTATAAAAAATATTTTAGATTTCTATTTTGAAGAGAATAATTGTTATGTTTTTAATGTTAATTCTAATATTGTATTTACATAATTTTTCTGTTTAATAAATAATCACTCTTCAAATAAAATAAGAGAAATAAATTATTATTTGTAGTAAAATCTAGAAAATCATATAAATTAGCAAAATACAATTTTTCTCTTGAATAATAGTTATATATTACTTCAGGATAATTTTAGAAATTAACCCAATCATGTCCTTGTTTTTTAAGGTTTAGAAATATAATTATTGTATTAATTATATTTTATTTTTTAATTTTTTTACTAATGGTTTTTAACGTGTGTAACCCATTAGGTTCCTAATATGTTAGCTCAAATATAAATTATAATTCTAAATAAATAAATTTAATTTATTATCAGTTCAATAATTGATTAATTTATATTTGAAGATCAGATATATCGTTTAGCAATGTGTCATGATCATCTGAATATTAAAAAAGTCATTTGTGGTTTAACTTAACCTTTCAGTGACTAGTTTTTCAGTGTAATTAATATCCGGTCATCAATAATGTTTCGATTGAATATTAAACCATGGACTATGTTTGTCATGCTAAATCATTTTTTTTCTTTACATAATAGTTATTGATCATTTGAATAAGATTTGAAACTCTTTTTAAATTTCATTCTATATTGGCCAATGATTTCTCTATCAATACTATTTGAGAATAGATGAATATTTTTTTTTAATTCATCTAGGATGGCATTTATTTTCTTTCTTCATTTTTTTTTTGTTTACATCCTACTTGTTTATGCATTACTTAACCCCATGAAATATATTTTCATCCACACTAAAGTCTTAACTTAGTCATATACAATTTTACTCTTCTTCCATCATTTAACCTTGACCAATATTTTTTAAAAAAACATTTAAGGAGGGATCAATTTTTCTTTGATTTTAATTTTCAAAACCTCATCTAAGATTAATTTTATTCATTTGAGCATGGTAATTTTTCTTTTCATCAATCACATACATTCCTTACATTTTTCTATCAATGCTGAAATTTCAAGTAAAGGGTAGCATGAAATTTCTTCAACTTTTTACTTAATTAAACACTAATTCATTTAATTCTCATGCCAACAAATAAAATTTCATCACAATATCACAAATTACTACAACCAATATGCTAATCATAAAGTTCCATAATCAAGCCCATCATCACCCAATCATACATGTATGAAATTTCTATAAGGAATTTAATTAGAAGAAACCTCAAGGGGAAACCATCCTTTTTCTCACTTCTTTGTCTTTCTTTATCCACACTTCATTCTTTCTTTACAAGCTTTAAACCCTTAGATCACTCAAATATTTAGTGTAGCTCACCATAAACCTTTTTAATTATCTTAACTCTCCGTAATCATGCCTTATTTTTAAAAATAGATGAGAGAATTAAAGAAAAATGTAAGAAAATCTCTAACTCCCCTTTCTCTCCATGTGACCCGCTAGACACCCCAAGCAAATTGGGGTTTATATAGTAAAATTTTTATTTTTTTCATTTAAGCCCTTGCCTTTCATGTTTAAATTAATCTAGTCCCCATGAGTCATTTTTTTCTTCTTCTTTTCTTTTTCCTTTTAGTAAGTTGGAAACAACTCTTTAAAGGCTGACATTTCAACTAATTTATTCCATCTTTCTTTTAGTTATATCACCATGTGTTTATGGTATATATATATTTTTTTTACCCGGTTACCAATACTTTTTCATGCAAACTATAAAAACCACCGGACATAATATTCTAAAAATTATAAAACTTTACCCTAAGGTAAAATAATATATTAGAATGCTCCACATAAATTTTCAACTCAATTTGTCAATCATACCATGAGTTATATGCGATAGCGCAAAATTGATCAAATTGCAATTTTTCTAAAAAAATCTAATTTCTACAAAAATTCTAAAATTTTAACCAAAGCTTAAAAAAAATACTATAATTCTCCAAAAACAATTTCAGATTTTTATGACAACCCGATCAAGAGTTACGAATTTTTTTAATATAAGACTAGTTGGTTAATGATTTTTCGCTAAAAAATCAAAATCTCCTTATTCCATCCCTCCATAAAGCACCCGGTCATTTTACTGTCTCATCAAAGTCACTTTATTATATTTATCTTTCATTTTTAGTCATTTATGGCTTATTCCCATGCCACGACAAGATTATCGATTCATTGCTAGTGTTTACCAACACTTTTTCATACCTTTCTTTTCTTTTTGACCGGTAATTTATAATTTTATTACTAATATAATTATTATTTTATCATCATATCATTATATTCCTTTAACATCATTATCATTACTATAAAAATTATTGTCGCACCACCACCACAACTAACTTATTATTAAAATATCAATCATCTCATGACGATGACAATATTTTATTAAAATCACCATAGTTAGCATTAGCTCCACCTTTATCATAAATTCTTGTTATTTTTCTTTTCTTGTTACTATCATTCAAAAACTATAAATAAAAATTAATTTATATTATAGGAAAGTGTTTTATTTAATATATCCAAACAATAAAAAATAACATATTTTTTAAGAAATTATTTTTCATAAAAAACTATTTTATTTGAGGAAATATTTTTTCAAGGAAATATTTTCGCTAAACAAACAAACCCTAAGATAGCATTTGGTTACTATTCCGTAATATAAGAGATAAAAAAACAATGGGAAAAAAATATATTTGATTAAAGAGATGGAGACATAAAAATAAATTTATCACTAAGATGATTTTGGAGTCTATTTTTATACTTTCAAAATAGAAGTTATAGAGGAAACATGTCTCTCGAGATCCTATTTATTGTCTTTTATCCCTAAAATATTCCTGTAAATAACTTTTAATTTTAAGATTTTCTAAATAAGACACGTAATAATAAAAAAAGTTAATATCATAGTTTCAAAATATAATTCAATGGCTGATTTAATATAAGACTCAGGTCACAAGATCAAAAAAAATAACCCGAGTTAACCTAAATTATTTTTTAAAAAAATCAAGTCATTTTGATCCTTTTTTTAAAAATAAAAGTCAGTGTTACTAAACTTGGTTTGCTTAATAAATAAATCTATTGACTTGTTTATCAGTTATTTATTTTAGCAGGGTTTGTTTTGGGATTTCATCAGGAGGGAGTTACAAGTTTTTAGTGTTTCAGGGAGAGAATGAGCTGAGATTTGGGAGAGCTCATAGCTCCATCTTCTTTCTATGTTTTACTTTTACTCTTCTTTTTTTCTTGGAAATACTTCGTTTAATCTTTTAAAGATGAGAGAGGGAATATGCATTGAATCTGTTTCCATATAATTCCCTACGAATTGCTATATATTTAAAGGTAAAAAAATATGTTCATTCTTGAAATTGTTTTTAAGAAGTTTCACTGATGATGGCTTTGGACACCTTATTTTCTTCTAGCTCATGGACGATAGTTTCTGTAAAAAGCTGCAAAATCCCACTTCATTTCAAGTAAGCATTTGTTGTAAAGGGCACTTGACTCCTTCCCAGGTAGTAATCCAATCATTTATATTCAC